CCTTTGCCAGATTGGGGAAGTTCTCCTTTATTATTTGTTCAAATAAATTTTCCACTTGTTGCTCTTCCTCTTCCCCTTCTGGTACCCCTATAATTCAGATGTTGGAACGTTTAAAGATGTCCTGAAGGTTCCTAAGCCTCTCCTCATTTTCTTGAATTCTTGTTTCTTCGTACTTTCCTGTTTGGTCATTTTTTTTCTTCCTTTTGGTCCACTCCCTTGATTTGAGTCCCAATTTCCTTTCCATCACTATTGGTTTCCTGTGCATTTCCCTTCATTTCACTTAGTGTAGCCTTCATTTTTTCACCTAATTTGCAACTTAAATCAACCAGTTCTGTGAGCATCCTGATCACCAGTGTTTTGAGCTGTGCATCTGATAAGTTGGCTATTTCTTGGTCACTTAGAGTTATTGGCTCTGGGGCTTTGAGTTCTTCTTGAGCCATAATGTTTTTGTCTGGTCACACCTGTTATGTATGAGGGGCAGAGCCCTAGGTGTTCACCAGGGCAGGGCCACCCAGGTCGCTGGGTTGTGACACTGTATGTGGGGGCAGGTCAGAGAGGGGCAACAGCGGTCTCCTCTGCTGCTTCCCACCACTGGTGCCTGCACCGTCTGTCTCACTGCTCGCTCCTTCTCCTGGTTTATCTGCGTGTGAATGTGTGACCGCGGTCAGCCTGCCACCTTGTGCCCTCACTGGGTCCGCCCGTTGCAACCCCACGCCTGGGATCCACCAACCACCGCCCGTGCCTGGGTGGGTCTGACTAAGTTTTCCTGCGCAACCCTGCTCCGCCCGCCACTGGCTCTGCCCCTCTTACTGGTCTGGCTGAACAGTTTGTTGTTGTCAGACTTCTGTATAGTTCAATTTTCTGTGTTTGGGTTGCATTTTTGTTACTAAAACTTTATTGTCTTTAAACTTGGTTCTGCAAGGAGGCACAGTGTTTCCACCTATGCCTCCATCTTGGCCAGAAGTCTTTTTTCTTTTACCATTCTTCAAATTTTCTTTGTGTTTTGAACAGTGTGCAGTTTGATTTTTTTTTAAATCTGAGGTTACAATTTGTCTTTTAACTAGAAGGTTTTGGTTTTTTTAATATATTTTAATTGTAATTACTGATATATTTGAATTTATTTTTCCATTTTATTTTGTGCTTGGTATTTTTTCCAGTTTTTATGTTCTTTTGTTTATCTTTATTTCCTTTCTTTCCTTTTTTATTTTTTAAAAGATTTTATTTATTTTTAGAGAGAGAGAGAAACATCAATGTGTGGTTGCCTTTGGCACACTCCCTACTGGCCCTGACCTGTAACCCATACATGTGCCCTGACTGGGAATAGAACCTGTGACCCTTTGGTTCACAGGCTGGTACTTAATCCACTGAGCCACACTAGCCAGGACCCTTTTCTTCTTTTTAAAAATGTTATTTTTCTTCTTCATGTTCGGTCAATAATTATTTTTTCAATGGTAAACCTCAAAATTTTAATATTCATATTCCATTAAAAGCCTAATGCCAATCAATATTTCATGGACAGTGCAAAGATGCTAGACTGAACTAATGAATCCAATTCTTCACTCTCTCTGTATGCAAACCTTTGCCATAATCCTTCATCACTCCCTCCTACTATAACTCTGGACTCAGCTAAACAACTTGCTTTGGCCAATGACATGTGAGAAGAGTCCTGGGAATATGCTTGTGTATTTCCATTTGCTCTTTTGTGTCCCTTCCATGGATCTTGTCCAGAGTACCTGGCTGGTGAGTAAGAGGCCCATGGAGCAGTGTCAAGGCCTGCAGCCAAGGCCATCATAGATCAGCTGATCCTGGACTTGTAAGCAAGCCAAGTCAACCTTAGCAGACACCACGTGTGTGAGCAATAAACAAATATAATTGTACGCCTCTGAGGTCTTGTGGCTATTTGTCATGCAATGGATAATTGATACGTACTTTGTAATGCTTTAACTTCATAATCCTCTTATACTCTGCATATTGTCATTACATTATTTGGGTTTCACCTTTTATAGTCCCACAAATTATAAATTACTCTCATATTTTGCCCTTGATGTTTATTTATATTTACCCACATTTGCTATTTTATTTGCCCACCAGTCCTTATTTTTTGTCTGATCTTCCTCTTGGAATCATTTTATTTCTTTCTGAAATATATCTTCTAGAAGATCCTTCAGTTAAATTCTGTTGGAAGTAACTCTTTATTTTGTTGATCTGAGAAGTATTGTTTTTTCATTCTTGAAACATTATTTGCTAAGTACACCATTCTAGGTAGACAGTTTCTCTCACCACTTGACTATTATTTTATTAATGATATTATTTCACACTGCTATCATTATCATTGCTACCATTCTGGCCGTTGAACAGTGAGGAGTTAGTATCACTGTCATTTCATTGTAGAGATTTTTTTGTCTGTTTTTTTTTAAATATTTTATTTATTTATTTTTAGAGAGGGGGAAGAGAAGGAGAAAGAGTGGGAGAGAAACATCAGTGTGTGGTTGTCTCTCATGTGACCCCTACTGGGGACCTGGCCTGCAACCCAGGCATGTGCCCTGACTGAGAATCGAACCAGCGACCCTTTGCTTCACAGGCCTGTGCTCAATCCACTGAGCTACACCAGCCAGGGCTTGTCTGTTTTTAAAAAGTATCTCTTAGGCTTTGATGTTCTGCCGTTTTACCAGACTGGATCTAGGTTTTCTTTTTCCTTCTCCTACTTGGGATTCGTTGTGTCTCATGAGGATTCTTATCTTTCATCAGTTCTGGAAAATTCTCAGTCACCATTAATTGACAGTTGCCTGGCTCACGTTCACCTTATTATCTCCTTCTACCATTAACTAATAAGTGCAGGATAAACCTTCTCACTCTTATCCATTTCCTTGCCTCTCTAGGATGCCTTTTATGTTATACTCTTTAAATCTATCTTTTAATTTACCAGTTTCTCTCCAGTTGTATCTAATTTGCTATTTAACCCTTCCCATGAGTTACACATTTGAAATGGATCTGCATCTGCCGCTTGTTTTCTCTGCTTATTTCTTCATGGGTTTTGTGTTTCTAAACTGTGAGTTCATATTCAATTGCAAGCCTATCTGGGAATTCTTTGAAACCTGTTCTGACAGTGAGTTCTTCCAGTGAGGACCTGTGTTTGCTTTCCCCAAGTATCATAGGTACTATCTACCCAAGTCCATCTGGATTTAAATGTTCAGCATGTGGGGGTTTGGACCATGCAAACAGCGTTACCAGAATTTGGCTACCCATCTACGAGGGAGATGTTTTACCTTTCCACCCACAGTCAAGGCAAAGTGAGGCAAATTTCCTTGCTGCTTGCCTCTGCAGGGAAGGTCCCCCCACCTCTAGTTTATCCTTCCCCTGAAGATATATTCCTTCTTGGTTTCAACCTGATGTTCCAACTTGGTTCTCATTCTGCCCGGATCCAAGCAGATGCCCCTACAATTGGTAGCAGCAACATTGTTTACCTACTTCAACAGATGATTTTCTTTTCTTTTTAAAAGATTTTATTTTATTTACTTTTTAAAAGAGAAATAGGAAGGGAGGGAGGAGAAGGAGAGAAACATCAATGTGAGAAACATCGACCAGATGCCTCTTGCACAGTCCCCAACCAGAGACCAAACCTGCAACCCAGGCATGTGCCCTGACCAGAAATTGATCCATGAACTTTTGCTTTGTGGTATGATGCCCAACCAACTGAGCCACACCAGCCCGGGCCAGAGAAGACTGTTGGAATAGCACATGCACCAACCAATTGGCAAATGCAGATTGTACCTGTATACAACTTCTGTATATCAACTTTATCTAACCTCCTAGGCCTGTGTTTCTGTTTTCTTCCTGGACTCAAATGATTTTTCTGACTTTCTCATACATTGATATATGTATTTAAAAGGGTGTTTTCAATATTTCTCCTAGCACCTTTATATAGCTCATTGCTGTTACATTTGCAGATACAAAGTATATAATATGGCTAGAAATATAGTCCAAGTAAAAAGTTTATCAGGCTCATAGAACAAAACATCCAGGGTTAAACAGTTCAAACCTAGGACTGTGGCTTAATGTCATATAAGATCTAGGATCTCTCAAACTTTCTGCTTCACTGGCCTTAGCATTTCCTTGTCAGGTCACCCGCACTTGATGGTGACTGAACTTCTAACTTTCAGGTCTGCTTAGAGACAGGAAGGAAATAAAAGTGGCAAAGCACTAAAGGAGTATACTCAACTAGAAGTCCTAGTGGATTTGTAGAAACAAAAAACAAAAAATAAATATTTTCCTCACTCAATAGCTTCTATAATAAATATTAAGCCCCCCAACACACACACACACACACACACACACACACACACACACACACACGCTGGTCACATGACTAAGCCTAGTTCAACTACCCAACTACCGGGCCCATGAGCATGAAATTTCCATGAATATTCTGGAACAATAATAAGCCATTCCCTCCAGCTGGGGTGAAGGTCCACCTGCCCTGGGATTAAAGGATCACCTCAAGTACCTGCACAAAATGAGTTTTTTCCTAGGAGACCCAGTACAGCACCTGCCACACAGAGTGTACTGGACCTTCAACCGAACATTTATGTGCCGAAGATGCTGTGAAGGCAGAAACGGATCTCACCCGATCTCTGCCTGGCAGGCTGAGCGAGGTAGTCCAAGTTTACAAAGGCGGTAGTCTGAGTCCCTAAACTGAAGGACCTACTCCGGGCTGTACTGCGCAGACGCTGGATATGAGGCGGGGCTAGTCGACGTGAGCCACGCAGGCGCGCAACGCTTTCTCTTACAGACGCACCCTCGGAAGCACTGTCAGTTTCGGGGGGCGGCACCGAGAAGCGTTTCCGGGGGCGGGAGGTAGTAGCTGAGGCTGTTGGGGAGGCGACAGCTTGAACGGGCCTGGTTCCGGCAGCGGAAAGTGTCCCGGGCCGGCTATGTGAGCGCCAGCCCTTGGGAGGTACGGCGGGGTCAGACCACAGGCAGTGCGGGTTGAGGGAGGGAAGCCAGCGGGATCTGAGGGTTCACCTGAAGGTCCGGGCGCGCGCGCCGCCGGCCCTCCAGGCCTGTGCCGCGGACCCGGATGCTTAAACCGTGCGCGGGTGGTTAGAGTCTCGGTGCGCCAGGTCCTACTTCTGCGGTCTCCAGCCAGCCAGGCGCACGTACTGCGACACCGAGGCCTCTGAGGTAGCGTCTAGTCCAAGGTCACCCTGCGGTGGCGGACCTGAGCGCTTAGAGATCCAGCCCCCGTCTGTCCGCCGGCCTTTCGGGACCGCCGGGTGGGCGCGGCTGGGCAGTTTCGGGTTCGAGCCAAGCCGGGAGAACGGCTGCGTCGGGACTTAGCTGATGCCTTCCTGTTTTCCTCCGTGTCTCACCTCTGTTGCTGTCTCTGTCACCTGTCGTCACCTATCCTTTTGACCTCTCAACTTGGTCCATGTCAAGTTTGTATTTGTCACTACTTTGTCTTTCCCTCGAGGCTATCTTTGAGTATTTCAGTCTTTTCTTTATATTTCCTTCTCAACCTTGCTTTTGTGTCTCTTGAGTTTGTGTTTCCCTCCTAGCCCTTATTCTCATTCATGGACTATCTCTAAGTCCCACTCTTCGGCCACCCATGTTTCTCTGACTCGGCCACTTCTGTCTTTTCTCTCTTGTTTTTGCCTCTCCGAACTGGGTTTCTTTGGGCGAGGTGGGCAGGCCTGCCCAGACCTCTGAGCCATGGAAGGTGACTCATGACCCCTTGAAGCCTCCTGCACTGGTGACATTCTCAGTGACTGGACTGTAGTCCGCCCTCAAGTCTGACAGGTGTCTGCCCCAGCTAAGTGTCAGGGTTCAGGAGTTCCTAGCGGGCAGATAGAAGCTATCTCAGAGCCCAGGTCACTTCCGGAACCCTTGCCTTTTCTTATCCAGGGTTTTCCAGGCCTGTACAGTTCCCTGCTTCCCTTCGCTCCATCCCCTTACCCCTGGATGGTCTCCAGGGCCGTCTACAGCCTAAGGAAGGGTCAGTCTGAGATCCTCTGCCCTTGAGTCTCAAGGGACAGTAGCAGGATTTCTGGGAGAGCTGTATGCTTAGTTCTGAGATTGTCAGTACATGCAGTTAAATTATGAGAAATCTAATAATTTGGGGTTTGTTCTTTGCTTCACACGAGTGGAGAAATGAGTCAGACACAGAACAAATATGTGAGTCTGCTTATATGAGATCTCTAATACTAGGCAAATTCATGGAGAAAGAAAGTATAGTTTACCAGGGGCTGGGGGAGGAGGGAATGGAGAATTGCTGTTTAATTGGATCCTGGGTTCTCGTGTGGGATGACACATGCTGGACATGGATGGTGGTGATGGTTGCACAGCATTGCAAATGTGCTGAATGCCACAAACTGCACTTTAAGTGGTTAAAATGGTCAGTTTTACATTAAGTATGTTTTACTACAGTGCAGAACTGCTCATTGGAGATACCTGGAACTAATGAGCTCTTTGAAAATGTGGTTTTAGTAATTCGGTAGCTTTTGGGAATAGTGTTTAGTTGAACTTACATTTACTGATACCCGCTTTCTTCACAGCCAGGGTCCACAGAAGTTAAAAAATTCAGTTAGAATCTTCCTCAAGTTTTCTACTTACAGCAAGTTCCCCCCTGTGGCTCTCTTCCCTCCATATCCCTTGGATTCAAGCAGGAATCTGCTGCATAAGTAGGAAATTTGAGGAATGTTTTGCTTTTCACATGAAGAAAACTCATAGGGTTGGAAAAATAGCCCTTTTACTATAATAATGCAAAGTTATGTATTATTTCTTATATGTATTCTGGTGGGGGAGGCCTTTATTTTTTGCTCTCTTACTTAAGATATCACTTTGCCTGTAAGGTAGTTTATCAAACTTTCTTACAAGATGTGGCAGCAACTGAATTACTACTGTGCTGACTCCTAGATACTATCGATTATCTTATTACCACCCAAGGGAGAGAAAACCCTGTTAATTAAGCTATGACATATGCTTTCTTATCATTTAGGTTTTTAAAATTTTTATTGGAAACATTTTTAGACTTACTTAGATATGTTAAATGATATGCTAATGCACATATAAAAAGAAAAAGGAGTGAAATATGGTGGAAGTGTTCATTGTTAATATTTCTTCTCTTTCAAATGCTTTTCAGTCCAGAGCTCTGTCTGTGCTTTTCCACTGTGCCGCCCTTCATGCTGTCAGACATGCTGGCGAGGCTCTCAGGAACGCTCTGTCATTGTCTCCAGCAGTGACGACTATTAAATTTCCACCCGGCCATCGCAGCCTGATTTAGGAAGTTCGAAGATGAAAATGATATACTCAATATCATTTTCATGAACTGTTTTTTTTTACCATATTTATATGTACCATACGTATAGAAAGAGTTTTGTCTTATTTATAATGTATTGAGGAAAACACTTTCCTTTTAGTATTTTTTTTGGTATGTAGTTAATAATTTTCATGAAACAAGTGCCTTTCTGCCTTCTGCTTCCTTGATTTGAGCTGCTTCTCGGGAATGCTAATGAATGTGAGAGGGTGCAGTTAAGAACATTTCCTTGGCTTCATTGAAATGTCATGGCAGGATGACTGAGCAGTTGGGGGTTAGTGGCTAGAACAATACCTTCTTTAAAAAAATACTTTTATGGAAGTATAGTTGGCATATAACATTACATCAGTTTCAACATAATGATTTGACATTTATGGACCTTGTGAGGTGATCACCAACTAACGACCATCTGTCACCATACAGAGTTCTTACAATATTTTGACTGTTCTCTGTGCTGTATACGACATCTTCATGGCTGATGGATTTTAACTGGAAGTTTGTGCATCCTATTCCCCTTGCCTCTTTCACCTGCTCCCTCTGGCAGTTGTCAGTTTGTTCTTTGTTTCCACCCTTTGTTTCTGTGTTTTTGTTTTGTTTGTTCTTTTTTTTTTCCAGATTCCACGCATAAGTGAAATCATAGAGTATTTGCCTGACTTACTTCACTCAGCATAGTACCCTCTGGTTGCATCCATGTTGTCGCAATAGCAAGATTTCATTCTTTTTTTTATTTCTGAGGTACACCCTGTTGTGTACATACACCTCATCTGGGTTTCTGCACATCTTGGCTATTGTAAATAATGTTACAGTACACATAAAGGTGCATAATTCCTTGTTTAAATCTCAAATTGTTTACCACTATGGAATATTTGTCCTGAAATTTTAAACCGTTCAGGTGTGGCTTAAAATTTAAGGGAGATATGAGTCAAAATGTATAAAGTATAGGTAGCTTGTTTTTTAGAAATCCTAAAATAGGTTTTACTAAGTTCTTTCTTTCTCTAAAGTGTTCCAATTTAAGAAAATTTAGGGTTGCTGATTGACCATCATCTGGAAACCAAAACATTTTCTAAAGGGTATTTTAATTCTTCAGGATCACACAGGCATTGAGCAGTGTGGGTTTTCTGTGTTCGACAAATGTGTCATGGTAACGTAAGATGTTAGTGCTAAAGGAAATTGAATGAGAACTCTCAGCATTCTTTACAACTTTTCTGTAAAGCTAACATCATCCCAAAATTAAAAGTGTATTTAAAAACAACAAAGGCAGAAGCCAAAAAGGTGCAGAAAAGACAATATTACCAAAAATACCAATCCTGATCAGTTTTCTTCTGCTGCTCACATACATGCGTAGTATTTAGTGGCAAGACACATGAACACCCTGAGGAGCACCAGCATCTCCTTTACTTTTTCAACATCATTTTTCCTTTCAGAAGTCAATGTGATTTTAACTGGAAGCAAAACTGAGCAATGGGAGCCTTTTTCTTATTCATTCAAACTGCTTTTTGATGACCAATACAACTTTGCATTAGGTAAGTCATAAACTTGCTAAAAATACAACTTTAAAAATAATTTACTAGAATGATTTCTTTTTGAGTAAAAATAATAATGTAGTTGCATTTAAATGCCTTAGGCCAGAAGTTTCTCTTACTTCTGAGGAGACACTAGAAGATTCACCATGCCAATCACTACCATACATTGTCCTGACTGAGCATTTAACTTTAGAGAAGCGTTTCTGCTCAGTGACTTTTTTTTTTAACTTAGGAAAAGACTAGGTTTGGAGTTGCACTTCTGTTTGAACCCTGACATACCACTTCTTAGACAAGTTACCTTGGGAAGGTCTTTTAACCTTCCTGAGCTTCTGTTTACTCCTCTTTAAAATGAGTGTGATGATACAGTGATGTTGTGAGACCTGAGTTTATATAGTCTGCTTTGTAAACTGTAAAGCATTTGACTAAAAATTTTGGTAGGCATGGTGTGTGGGCATTTTTGTACATTTGTTTCGGTCATTAGGTTTAGTAAAGTAATGTTTACTGTGTTAAAATGTACTCCCTATAGTAAGCATGCAGATGACTGTTTCAGCCCTGTGCCCTCCTTCAGGGACCCTTAGGCACCTTGAAGCCCCACAGTTCAATGGTACTCTATTCCGCCTTCTCTTTTTTTCCCTCTCTGCGTTTTATTTTAAGTTTTTTCTATTACTATCCTTTCAAGTTCACTAATCTTTTCTCCTACGTTGTTAATTCTGTTGTTACTCCCATCCAGTGTTCGTTGTGTTTTAATCAATGGAATTTCTCCCCCATCTATTATGCTTAAGTTTTCTATATTTTCTTGAACATGTGACCCACTAATTGTATAAATCTGTCATTCTAGGTCTGTTTCTCTTGATTGATTTTTTTTTCCTCTCATTATGGGTACATTTTCCTGTTTGTTTGGTTTGGGGGTTTGTTTTTTTGTTTTGTTTTTTGTTTTTTTGTGGGGTTTTTTTTGCATGATGCTGATTTTTTTTTTTTAATGGAGGCCAGACATGACTTTTACCTTGTTGGGTTCTGGATATTTTTCTGTGATGTAAATATTGTCACGCTTGGTTCTGGATCACAAGTTACATGGAAATAGTTTGGTCCTTTTGAGGCTTGTTTTTAAGCTTTATTTAGCGAAACCAGAACTGCATTTTACCTGGGACTAATTGGTCCCTGCTGCAAGACTCTTCCGAATACTTAAGGTTTTCCACTCAGGGAAGTTCTCTTCTACTAAATATTTTATTTGATTATTCCTTCTACTCTACTCATTTTGTTCTTTCTCTCAAGGATACTAATTAGCCATATGTTGTGGTAATTTTGATCTCTAGTCTCTATTTTCCTGTTTTATTATCTTTTCTCCTGCTGTTTTCATATTTCTGTCCTCCTCCTGAATTCTGATGGGAGTTCCCCAAAGAGCCTTCACATCACTGATTCCATCTTCTGTAGCCGAAATTCTTCTTACTGCTTGTTTAAATTTCTGCTCTATTAGTTTCCTTATATCTTTTCTTTAATTCAGTCCTTTTTCATGTCATTCTGCTGTTTTTGTCTCATCTTTGCACATCATTCATAGAGACCATTTTTCACCAGTTGGTGGAAAACTACAGTTTCAACGTGCTGTCTAACCTGTACTCTTTGTTTACCCCTTGCTATTTTCTTTTCGTGTGTATTCGTAGAATTTGTTTACAGACCCCATTTACTTAAAAGAATAAAACCATATTGATTTTGTTCATTTATTTTTTTTAGAGGGAAAAATTCTGCGGAGCTCCGACATTCCCTATAGAGTGGATTGGTTTTAGTCCTTCACCATGTACCTGGGCACTGTCAGAATCAACACTTAGCTCTTTTGCGGATGGACAGCCTGAACCCTATTGACACCAGGACTTAGCTTAAGTGTAACGGGGCTCAGGGGCTCTCTGCACTTTCTTCTGGGTTGGTGAAGCAGCGATATCTGGGGCCTACCTGAGTCTCTTTGGCCCAATTAGCAAATGATGGGCTGCCCTTGCCTCCTTCCTGGGCCACTATTGAGCCCCATCCTCTCATACCCAGTCTTTTATTTATTTATTTTTTTTAAGACCTCTCTGCTTGGGCAACCTTTGGTGTCCCAGTGCAGCCACCTCTGAATGTTGCCAATCTTGGCACTTGTCCCGAGGTCCACCCTCATTTTGCACTTACAGACCTTCCAGATGAGCAGTTATTACTGGGCCTCTGACACAGGTGCTGCTGCTGCTGCTGCACCAGGATCGCCTGGTGTAGCAGGCGGGTTGCACAGGCAGGGTCTCTCTGCAACCTGCAACCTGGTCTGTCTTTACTGTGTCCTTAGGTAGAGTTTGTGGCGTGTAGATGTCCTGGATCCCTAGCTTCTAGGACTCAAACCAGTGTTTCTATACTCCTTAGACTGTTTGGGTTAGGATGTACTAAAGGGAAGAATTATAGGTTGCCCTCAGGCCTCCCCTTAACCTGGGGACACCAACACTTACAGTGACAAAATACATAACTGTAGGATACACTGGGTTCCCTCCCCTGACTTCCTCCAGAGTTTGTAATTCTCCTATGGTGTTTTTTTTTAAAAATCAAGATTTACCTTGAATAATAGGGTTGTATGGGTGGGGTTTTTAATCTCCCCAGCCACATTTTAGAGTCTGAAAGAGGTGCCTTGATCATCTTAGAAATCTCTCACAGCACCTTTCATGTAGTAGTTTATGTCGTTGTTAGGGAGTTAAAGTCTTTTCAACAATTGAAACAGCAGCTGTACCATTAATATAGATCTCAACTACCTGTAACTTTGAAAATATTACTTATATAGTAGAAAAACCTTTAGAAGTTCAGGCTTCACGTGTCACTAAGATTAGGAAGTATGTAGAAATGCCATAAATTATGGAAGTATGTAGAAATGCCATAAATGACCCAAAATTATGGACAGAGGTCAGGTCCTTACTAAATTGCAATTGACAAAGTTAAAAATGTTGTTATATGACCTTTTTTCCAGTTTTTTAAGTGTGTGGTGAAACATGTATGTATCATTCAGTTTGCCATTTGAACCATTTTCAAGTGCACACAGTTCAGTGGTGTTCATTACACTTGTGCAACCAGCACCACTTTGTTTCCAGAATTCCTCCTCACCCCGCACAGACTCTGCCCACGGAGCAATAGCTCTCCCGAGTTCATGTAACCTCTGCTCTACTTCCTGTTGTTATGAGTTTGCCCATTCTAGATATTTCACAAAGTGGAATAATGCGACATTTGTACTTTTGTGTCTGGCTTATTCAAGTTAATGTTTAGTCAGTGTTCATCCATGTTGTAGCATGTATCAGAACTTCACTCCTTTTTGTTTGTATTCTATATATGTGTCTTGTAGGTATAATTGATTTATAATATTCAATACCTCTGTTTATTTATAGATCTGTCTGGTTTTTCGATCCATTACAAAAGCAAGGTGTTGAAGTCTCCACCTGTTACTGCAGATGTGTCTGTTTCTGTCTTCATTTCTGTCTATTTTTGCTTCATTATACTTCTCTTGTTAGGTGTATATATGTGTTTATGATTGTTTAATCTTCTGAATAGATTGAACCTTTTATCAATATATAATGTATCTCTCAGTCCTTCTTCATTCTTGTGACCGTTGTAACTTAAAACCTGTTTTGTCTGATGATAATACAGGGGTGGACAGAAGTAGGTTTACAGTCATTGGTATGGAAAATAATGCAGTAGTTGATACATAATACACGAGCAAACTCTGCTCATGTACTCGAAGCTGTAAACCTACTTTTGTTCACCCCCGTGGAGCCACTCCAATTCTCTCTGGTAACTCTTTGCATGGAATATTTTTTCATCATTTTACTTTCAACGTTTATGCCTCTATGTCTGAGGTGAGTCTCTTATAGACAACATACGAATAAATTATGTTTTTAATCCATTCTGCCAGTCTCTGCTCTTTAATTTGAAGAAGGATTTACTTCTACCATTAGCTATTTGTTTTCAGTATATCTTGTATGTTTTTCGTTCCTTAGTTCCTCCATGACTGCCTTTTAAAAATACTTGTTTTATTAATTTTATTTTTTGTATTCTGTTTTGATTTCCTTCTTTTTGTATATATTGTTAGTTATTTTCCTAGTGGTTACATTGAGGTTAACAATCAACTTTTTAAAAAAAGATTTTATTTATTTTTAGAGAGAGGGGAAGGGAAGGAGAAAGAGAGGGAGAGAAACATCAGTGTGTGGTTGTCTCTTGTGCGTCCTACTGGGGAACTGGCCTGCAACTCAGGCATGTCCCCTGACTGGGAATCAAACCAGTGACCCTTCACTTCGCAGGTTGGCACTCAGTCCACTGAGCCACACCAGCCAGGGCTATAATCAACATCTTAACGACCTAGTTTGACTAATTCAAACTTAGTTTTAATAGTATGCAAACACTCTGCTCCTATACATCTTCTCCCCCTTCGTGGTGTTATTGTCACAGATTACATCCTACTACATTGTGTGCCTATTAACATAGATTTATAATTATTCTTTTATTCATTTGCCTCTTAAATCATAAAGAAAAAAGAACCTATAAATAAAAAATATAATACTGGTTTCTTTATTTACCGATGTTGTTACTTTATTCAGTCATCTTTATTTATGTGGCTTTGAATAACTGGCTAATGTTCTTTTATCTCATCTTGAAGGACCTTTCCTTCATCATTTCTTATAGAGGAGGTCAAGGAGGTCTGTTGGTAACAACACCCTTCACTTTTGCTTATCTGGCAATATCTTAATTTCTCCTTTATTCTTGAAAGGATATTTTTGCCACATATAGAATTATTGGTTGACAGATTTTTTCTTCTAGCATTTTTAAGTATGTCATACCACTGCCTTCTGGCCTCCATGGTTTCTGATGAGAAATTAGCTGTTAATCTTACTGTGAAGTCCTTTTACGAACACAGTGAATCTCTTCTTGTGCTTTCAAGATCATCCCTTATCTTTGGCTTTCTTCCGTTCAATTCACAGTGTTTCTCATATGGATCTCTTTAACTTTATCCCATTTGGAGTTTGTTGAGCTCTTTGGATATGCAGCTGTGTCTTTTACCAAACTTGGGAAGTTTTGGATCGTTTCTTTTAAAACCTCTTCTGCCCTTTCTTCTCCTGAGACTTCCATGGTGTGTGTGTTGGTGTTGGTATATTTGATGGTGTCCCACAGAAATCACAGACTGTGTTTTTTGTTCTTCATTCTTCTTTCTCCTTCCAGGCTGGGTAATGTTACTTACTTTATCTTTGAATTTACTGATTTTTTTTTAATGTCAGCCTGCTTATATCTGCTCTTGAACTCCTTTTGTGAATTTTTAATTTCAACTTGTATTTCTTTCCTAGGTCTACCATAGCAAAATATGATAGACTAGGTGACTTAAATAACAGAACTTTTTTCCCACAGTTCCAGAGGCCAGGAATCTGAGATTGTGTTGTTGGAAGATGTGGTTTCCCCTGAGCACTTCTCCTTAGCTTGCAGGCGGCCACTTTTTCACTGTCTTCACATTGTGCACATCCCTGAGGTCTCTCTGTGTGTCCAAGTTTCAGGGCAGTCAGCTTGGATTAGGGCCCACCAAGTGGCCCTGTTTTAACTGAATTACTTTTTAAAGTCTTTATGTTCCAATATAGTCATATTCTGGGGTAGTTGGGATTATAGGGCTCCAACATATGAATGGGGGTATGATTCTGCCCATGACATATTTACTTTTTAGCTCCAGAATGTCTATTTGGTTCCTTTTTATGATTCCTAATTCTTCATTGACATTGTGTCCCTGATTTCCTTTAGTTCTTTGTCACATGCATTTTTGCTTTGTTTTCTTTTGCTTTTTGGTTTTTGATTTGCTTTTAGTGATTTGAATGTATATAAGATGGTTGATTTAACATCTGGCTAGTGATCCCAGTATCTGGAATTCCTCAGAGATAGTTTCAGTGCTTTTTTTTTTTCTGTGAATGTGCCATTATTTTCCTTTTTCTTTGTATACTTCATAATTTTCATTGAGAACTAGAACATCTACTTTCTAACTAGTATTCTAATGTAACTCTTGAAAAAAGATTTCCCCCTCCTAGGAGATTTTCTTTTTTCTTTGTCGAGTGCTCAGTTGCCTGTTAGCATGGTGATTTTTCCAGACTGTTTTTCAAAGTCTTAGTATTTCTTTTTGCACGTAGTCACTGAAGTTGCTGTTGCTTTATCTGTGTGATCAGCCTGTGACTTGACAAAGATTTCCTTAAATGCTTTGACCCAGAGAAGAGGGCGGGGAAGTGTGTTTGTTTTTTAAATGTTATGATAGATGCTTCTGGGGAAGCCACTGCCACCAAAGGGGACAAACAAAGCTGTGTGGGTCTGCCAGAATGGGCAGGATGCAAACCCCCCAGTTCGTAGAGGACGTGATCCTTATTGTTCACCCCAGGCTGTGGCAAGGCTGAGGAATGGGGATTGTAGCTGGTTTGGGTACGCTGCTTTCTTAGCAAGGTTCAGTAGCCTCTCCCTTCATCCAGTATTGCTTTGGTTGCTGTAAGTATTTGATCAGATTTCCGAGTTCCAAAATAGCTGATGCCGATCATTTTAACAACTTACTACTTTTTGTGGAGGGACTGACCTCTAGAGCTTCCTACTCTACCATTTCTATAACGTGACTTACGGTGTTTATTTTTGTAGAACTGTTTTTAAAAGTCTATTTTCGGCCATTTAAAATTCTACAGCACATACTTGAAATCTTGAAGAAAAGATGGATATTCAGTAATAGTGTTGAAAAAGTAGGCTAGCTGTTTTGGAGGGGGAAGGGCTGGATTTCAGTCTTACTCTTTATGCCAAAGTAAACTCTTTGTACATTAAAGGTTTAAGTGCCTTTTAAAAATATGTACCAGGAAAAAACCTAAATGATTTTATTTACTTTTAAAAAAAATAAACCTTGGAGTTGGGATGCCTTTGTATATCTAACACAAAGCCCTGAAGCCATAAAAGATGGGCTACTTTAATAAATTTTCAGGTTAATTCCCAAGTTAATTTCCTGAATTTATAAAAAAAACTACAAATCAGTGAGATGAATTGCCCAATTTATTTGAGCAAAGGATATGACTGATAATTTGTAGGAAAAAGAAATGCCCTGTAAACATGAGTAAAGAGTACCTTGTTCATAGTTAAAGAAATGTTGGTCAGCCCTGCCAGTGTGGCTCAGTTGGTTGGAGCACTGTCCCATGGCCAAAAGGTTCAGTTCCCAGTCCAGGCGTGTACTGGAGGCAACCAACTGATGCTTCTCTCTTGCATTGATGTTTCTCCCTTCCTCTCTCTCTAAAAGCAATGAGAAAATATGCTCGGGTGAGAATAAAAAAAAGAAGACAAAAAAGAAATGTTGGTCAAGACAACAGTGAATCATGGGTTATTCATTTTGGTGGTTTGCAAACTTTTATTTTCTTATTTGATCACATCCAGTGTTGGTAAGAGTGTGCAGGAATAGACACTGTCATTGCTGTTGGTAGGAGCATGACTCACTGCAGCTTTCTGGAAAGTACTTTAGTAATATATATCAGAATGTCAAATCCAGAATGTTGAATGCATAACCCTTTGACTCAGCAATTCCACTGGTAGAGTTTAATCTATACATACCTACACAGATGTCCATTGTAGCATTGCTCATAATTTCAAAACCTTGGACAATTAAAATTCTGTAAGAAGAGAACTGCTTAAGTTATGATATATCCATACAACAGGAAACTATACAGCCATTTGAACAGAATGAGTTAGCTCTTTTTGTGCTAATTTGGTGTCTTAGTCCATTTGCAGTATTGAAATAAAACATCACAGACTGGGTGGCTTAGAAACAGATATTTTATTCCACAAGAGTTCTGGAGTCTGGGAAGTCCAAGGGTAAGTGGCCAGAAGATTCAGTGTCTGGTGAGGGTACCACTTCCAGGTCCACAGGTAGAATTCCCTGTCCTCTCAAGGAATTCTGTGGTGTCTCTTTTATAAGGGAACTAAGCCCATTCATGAGAACTCTGCCCTCATGACCTGAGAACCTCCCAAAGGCCCCACCTCCAATACCATCCCATTGGCAGAATAGGTTTCAACATGAATTTTGGGAGAAGCATTCATTCTGCAGCATGTTGGAAGATCTGCCAGATTCATTAAGTGATGAAAGCTAAGTACAGAATAAAATGTAGTTCACCCATATGGGTAGGGATTTTTAAAGGACATACACGATTTATTCTGATATACATACAAAGATGAGGGTGACTAGGACTAAACGGTGGAGAGATTTTTTTTACAGCTTTCTGTACTTTTTTTATATGTTTGTATTAGTTCCTCTCCTCCTTTTTTTTTTTTTCAAAAAGCTAAAAACAAAATTCTGCTGTGCAGAGATCTAGCAGAGAATCTGTTTACCCAGATGTAGTTCTTAAAATTTATACACCTCTAGTCTATACATTTGGATAGTTTTCTTTCCCTTCTGAAAATGCAAATATCTAAATAGTTGTTTTCCGGTCTATTTTTGTTTTAAATTATGATAAAATATTTTCAGAGGTATAAACTATAAACTAATACTTCATTCTAAACACACTGTCTTACCTCCTAAAATTATTAATAACTAACTTGGTCTTTTGGCATCTTCTCAGAGGAGGCAGAATGAAGAAGCAGGAAAAACAGCATAGGTTTTGGAGCCATAGAAACCTAGATTCAAGTCCTGTCCTAAGCAAAACTAGCTTTTATTTTAACCTTGGCAGAATTGCTTGAAATTACTGAACTTGAGCATATCAATCCCTATATGTGCAGAGTCCTTGTAAAGATAAAGCAAAAAAAGATGAACAGTCACTGATATATAGTAATTACTCAAGAAACATTAGTTTCTTCCCTTGGCATCTCTCCCTGTCTCTCAAAGAGAACTTGTAATCTTTGTTTGGGTTGTCTGGTTCTTTTTATCTTATGCTTTTATCTCATACCTGGTATTTAGCAATATTTACATATAGATAAGGGCCAGAGGACAAATAGCACTGAGACATCTGCTGGGTTTTCTGGTTTGTTTTCATTGACTGTGGAATTATGGGGCACGCACAGGACCTCCATCAAAGTCCATCTTGTTCATTGCTGTTAGAAATTGTCTCCAATGTCTGACTTACCCCACAAAATATATTTATAGTAACATCACAGGTAATCTCTTATTGTTTGCTGTAATTTTATCTTTGGTCTATAACTTTTAACAATTTGAAGATGAGCAGGTAAAAGGAACACCTTGCCCTGCCATTTCGTTTGTTTCAGAGGGTTGGACAGCCCTCAAAGGGCCAAAATTCTGACAGCAGCTGGAGAAACTCACACTGTTGGGGGCCTTGGCCTGTTTACCCTGTGGTGCAGAGTGAGCTCAGGCACGGTTCTCCTGGCCTGGCCACTGCAGCCCTCTTGCCCCCTGCTCCCTCACTGGATTCTAGCCTGATGGTCTCCTTCCATTGCCTTGCAGTTGCAGCATTCACTTCCGCCTCATTTCCACCTCGGAGGCTTTGCATGTGCTCTTCCTTCTTCTGCCCACAATTCCATCCTCACTCCAGCTTGGAAATATGAGTTGAATTTGAAGCCTCTTAAATATTCTATCATTTTGATATGTATCACGTTTGTTTTGACTAAAAAGTTTGTTTTACATACGGGATTTGTATAGGTTGTGAATCTAATCTCTGTGGGTTGTATTCTCTCACTACCAAATCAGGAGTTAATGCCATGAAGAGTGGTGGGCGGTTCCTGCCATTGGCACACTTCATACCTGCGAGCCTGGCCCTGGGGAATGAAGGCTTCACCCCACAGTGCCCACAGGCCGGGGACGTGGAACTATGGAATCTGCCTTAGCTATCTTAGTGATCAGCAAGTTGCTCTGTGGGCTGGAATCAGTACTAATTTTTCTTTCTTTTGTAGCACTGAACAAGATTTGTGATGAAATGGAGCCTGGAACAAACTCTTTTCGAGTAGAATTTCCTGATTTTTCCAGCACCATTTTGCAGAAACTGAACCAGCAGCGCCAGCAAGGACAATTATGTGATGTCTCCATTGTTGTGCAAGGCCACATTTTCCGGGCACACAAAGCTGTTCTTGCTGCCAGTTCGCCCTACTTTTGTGACCAGGTGCTCCTGAAAAACAGCAGGAGGATTGTTTTGCCTGACGTGATGAACCCAAGAGTGTTTGAGAACATTCTCCTGTCTAGTTACACGGGACGTCTCGTAATGCCCGCTCCAGAAATTGTTAGTTACTTAACAGCAGCGAGCTTCCTCCAGATGTGGCATGTGGTAGACAAATGCACAGAGGTTTTAGAGGGAAACCCTACAGTCCTTTGTCAAAAGCTAAATCATAGCAGTGACCACCAGTCTCCAAGCAGCAGCAGTTACAATGGCCTGGTAGAGAGCTTTGAGTTGGGCACTGGGAGCCACGCCGACTTCCCCAAATCCCAAGAACTGAGGGATGGAGAGAACGAAGAGGAGAGCACCAAAGACGAGCTGTCATCTCAGCTCACTGAGCATGAATACCTTCCCAGCAACTCGTCCACAGAGCATGACCGGCTGAGCACTGAAATGGCAAGCCAGGACGGGGAGGAGGGGGCCAGTGACAGTGCCGAGTTCCACTACACCCGACCTCTGTACAGCAAGCCCAGCATCATGGCTCACAAACGCTGGATCCACGTGAAGCCCGAGCGCTTTGAACAGGCCTGCGAGGGCATGGACGTGCACGCGCCCTACGACGAGCACCAGGTCACCGAGTCCATCAATACCATGCAGACAGAGCACTCGGTCCAGCCCTCGGGAGTGGAGGAAGACTTCCACATCGTGGAAAAAAAAGTGGAAGCGGAGTTTGATGAACAGGCCGATGAAAGCAATTATGACGAGCAGGTGGATTTCTATGGCTCTTCCATGGAGGAGTTTTCTGGAGAGAGGTCGGAGGGAACTCTAGTTGGGCACAGACAGGAGGCTGCCCTGGCAGCAGGCTACAGTGAGAATATTGAAATGGTAACAGGGATTAAAGAAGAAGCTTCCCACTTAGGATTCTCAGCCACCGACAAGCTGTATCCTTGTCAGTGTGGGAAAAGTTTCACTCACAAGAGTCAGAGAGATCGACACATGAGCATGCACCTTGGTCTCCGGCCATATGGCTGTGGTGTCTGTGGTAAGAAATTCAAAATGAAGCATCATCTTGTGGGCCACATGAAAATTCACACAGGCATCAAGCCGTATGAGTGTAATATCTGTGCAAAGAGATTCATGTGGAGGGACAGTTTCCACAGGCATGTGACTTCTTGTACCAAGTCTTATGAAGCTGCAAAGGCTGAACAGAATACGACTGAGGCTAACTAAAAATAGTATCCGGCCCTTGAGTGGCAGGCACAAAAATAAACGATGGTAATTATGCAAATCTGGGCACAGATGATGTGTGCTACTTGCTATTATGAGAGAAGCTTAAAAAAAAATGGGAGATATTTCTGAAAGACCAGTTCTAAGTAGGCCAATTAAAAAACCTAATTCCTCAGATTGGTATGTTACAGTGCAGGCCGCAGTAGGTAATGGGGGTAAGTTAACCCACCTCCTAGCTGGCCAGGTACACCTTTAGGCCTGTTGTGATGAGGCAGGTGGACTGGTGATAGAGATGCCTGCACTTGGAACTGGACTCTGGCCAGCCCACCAGTTCCGCTTCCGGTGGTAGCAGTTTTCGATCACTCATTATTACAAGGCCATGTTGGAATTTTATTTTGCTCTTACTATAGATACTTAGGTAATGTGGATTTGTTTTGGTAGCTGCTTTACTAAATGACATGCTACTTTACATAAAAGCTAGAAATAATGTGATTCCTAGGATGCAAAACTGATTAACAGAGCTCTCGTCTGGTTTTATTCTTTCTAAAAAGACATTTCAACAAAACTATGGAGATATTAAGGGGCTGACAGGCTAAAGTAGGAAACAACTTACGGTACAAGCTTCAGGTTCTGTAAGACACCCAGTCGCAGTGTGTTTCAGACTCTTGTTAAGGCCAAGTTTTGTGTTTTAGTGCTAACTCTTAGTTTGAACAGTTGGATCTAATTGTAATTCTCTCATGTTCCCGGGATGGGTATTTCTGATTGGTTTGCTGTCCCAAATCCTTTCTGTTTGTAGCATCCACACTGTGGGATCTGCTCTATGGCTAGTAGACGTCTAGCCTGCTGGGACTGACCCCAGGACCATTGGCTGCTGTAGCCATTTTGCTCTATCTTAGATTCTGGTGCTTCCCAAAGAGGTCAGTCAGTGACCACAGTTAGTGGGAAGGAGCCAAAAGTCACGCCTAAGAATTACCGGTGAACTTCAGGAGTTAGTAGAGTGCTCCAACTGTCAGAATGAAGAGTTGCTGACTAGAGAATTTTGAGTGGCAGGTTATAATGGAGAGGGGAGAAACTGCACAAGAAAAGAGGAGTTGTGGAAATACTCTGGTAGGGGGATATTTATTCTCTTAGAGGGGCACACTGAGCTAATACTGCCACTTCTTTCAGGAGCTCTGGAATGTGTTTTAAAAGGAGGGAAAGGAAGCGTCCTAATTTTAGAAGGTAGTCTACAGATTCATGCTCCCAAATCACAGATAAAGCTGCATAAATTTACAAGTCCACATAGCTGTACCTACTAAAAACAATAAGCTAAGCAGCTATTCTGAGGCCTCTTCCTCCAATCAGTCAGGTGTTTCAGGGTAAGAGCAGCATCTGTCCAGGAGGCTTTTACGCTGTGTAGTGCGCCTGAAGCTGTCACTGGAGCCGGCAGGGTGCTACTCTGTGTCATCTTTTCCATAGGCTTACTGGTCTGTTACTTCCAAGTGGAAACTTTTTTCCTGAAAATAAAAATAACTTTTCTTGGATTTGGAATGAAACTTTGTTTCAAAAGTTTGGTTTTTCTCTAGTGTGATAGACATTGCGGGCAATGGCCGCTGGTCCTTAAGCTCCTGCACCAGGTGTTTACTCGATGAATGTTGTCTGGAAGGGGATCAAGGTGACAAAACAGGGATCTACTCATGAACACTGTATCATTCTCGATATATAAAAAGCACTTTGTATTTAAAACTTTATTATAAATATATATATATTGACTTTTTAACTTAGAAACTAGATATTACCTCTTGGTTGTTTGCCACATCAATAGCCTCTTCTCTTAGTGTCGAAATTTTACCGTTGACAGTCCTTCCTCCGAGTGCCGGACAGAGTGGCCGTAGTCAAGCTCACTGGCTCCTTTTCTTTTTCTCATATTAGAAGCCAGTGGGTTTTAGATGTGATCCTAGCCATTATGTGTGAGGAGAAATCCTTTTATTACTCCTAATTTTAGTGCTAAGGCAGTGAAGCCATTTTGTTCTGCCAGAAACTGATTACCCTCTTCCATGGTGTTAGCAAACCATTTTTTGCCTGTTTGGAAGGTGTGACATCCTGTTTCCCATTACAGATTATATTCAAATGAGCATTGGGACATTTGAGAAGGGTCCCAGAGGTAAAGTTTAAATATTCTGCAAAAATTTTGGCCCTCAGTCAAGCCGAAACCAGCCAGCACCCTCATCGTGACGAAGTGCTCTCCTTCAGCCCCGAGTGGGGCGCAGCTCCTGGCCGGTGGTTTCGGGAGCGGTCGGCTCTGCTGGAACGCACTTCATGTGCTGTGAAAGCAGATGTGTCTTTTGTGGAAGTCCTCACGTGCGCATCATCTACTAAGTGTGGAATTTAAAGTCTTAAGTTCCTCACATCTGCAGTTTTAATTTTTTTAGGCTAGTTGGGGTTTCCATAGCAACTAGGGTTGTTAATTGGGTCAGCCAGACCTTGTGAGATGGTTGGGCATCTGACCTGCGGGCCGCGGCCAGAGACGTGGGGAAGGGGATTGCCTTAGTTCAGATATTGAAAGTGGATTTTTATAAACTCTGCTTGTTAAGAGTAGGAGATTCTGTTGTATTACTACCTTTTTTTCCCCTGCCTACCCTGGGGCGGATAGTCGGTCTCCTTGGCCTCAATACAGCTTTAGAAAATCTTTATCCTTCCCAGGTTTGGATGGTTGTGGGTGACACTTCTCAAACAGTCTTTCAGGGATCCTGTCAGTGGCCTGCCACCAAGGTATTTGTCCTCTACTTTGAGTCTCAACTGTGGTTTTTCTCTAATCCCAGTGGGAAAGGGCTTCACGGCACCACCAGTGTTGTTTAATATTAGAACTTATACAATGCCTTTAATTTTAGATACAGACATTAAGTAATCCACTTGGTAAAGGCGGTATCACTGCCTGAGGAAGGACCGCGACAGCCGTCCCTCAGGTACTGAGGGTACCCTCAGGTGCTCCTGGCCCCGGCCTGTTGATTCTTCTTTCAAGATCTCGCCTTTCTCCGGTCTCTCCTCTTGGCCACAACTTTCAAAGAGTCTGCCAGAAGGGTGTCCTCCGGTCCAGCAGGCTTTTGTGAACTGAGCTGACTCCTGGCTGTTTGGGAAAGCTGCTGAGTCTCAGCCGCTCCTCCTCGCGGGGGCACACACCTCCCCAAGCTGCTGCAGAGGCAGCTGCGCTGCCCGCTCTGCTGTGCTTCCCCCCGGGGGGGTGGTGGGGCGCGGTTTGCCACAGTCCCCTGGCCTGAGGCCGGCGAGGACTCCATCACACCAAATCCAGGGGTTTGCTTTAAAAGGTCTCATGATTCAGGAAAGCTGGAAACTAAGCGGCATGTTACCCTGCCCCGCCGCCCCCCCCCCCCGGCCCCTATCTGTGCCACACTTAATTTTGTGATTTAGGTTGCTTTCATGGGTGACTAACTTTGTTCAGTGAAACCAGGGTTTGTTTGAGTTTTTTCTTTGCTACTTAATATATTTAAAGGTACATGCCTCTTATTTTAGATCTCTACTGATAGTACTCTATGGGAAGATGCTGGAACACATTTTGCAAATGTGACTTTTTTTTTTTTTTTTTTTTAGTTTTGCTTGAAGCCTGTGTCACAATGTCAGTTGCTGCTGCCTTCTTTCCTTTTATGAGGTTCCCAATGTTTCTTCCAGAAAATTACTTTATTTATGCAAGTCAGGTGACTCTTAGATCACAAAACCATTCGATGATAAACAGATGATCACTAGGTGCATATCTTATTGATTTTGTGAAATGTTATGCCTGTGTTGCAAAAGTTGAATAGTTTTGTCTTTATATATTGCTGTCTTCATTGTACAGCATGGTTTTACTTAATTGAATGTTACTGTTTAATATTTTCTTCTTATAGAAGAGACCATGCCCTTTTGTATGACATGTTTTAATAAATGTTATCTGTCAACTTTGTAAAAGTTTTTTCACTCTGGGTAAATGAAACATGTCTTTGTTTTCATTCTGGCTTTGCCACCTGAGAATAAAAGTTATATTGTGGCCTTTTGATAGTAAATGCCAGATAGACAGTTGGATCAAGTAGATAGTGAGTGCCCATTTGCCACGCCAGGCACTTATGACGGTCATCTCATTTTGAACCCCCACCAGCCCCGTCGCACATTGCAGTGTGCGGCATAGTCCCTGTTTGCTCCTTTAGGTCCCCTCCCTCCCTGTGCTGCTTCGTTCTGGGGCCTCTGGTCAGGATCTGCCAGAAGGACGCGCTGGAAGGAGCTTGGCTTAGGAGAGGAGGGGAGTTGGGGAGTCACTCCCCTGGCTCCTTCCTGCCAGGTGTGTGTGGACGGTGGCTGGGCCCCTCTGCCGAGGATGACAGCTCCTGCCAGGCAGCTTCAGGGTTTGGTAACCACTCCCTCCCCTTGTCATTTCAAGCTGAGGATTAGCACAGACTCCCTGTTTTGTCAGGCCTCTGCAGGAGTTAGTAGCCCTGCCCACACCCTTTGTCAGCAATGCTTGTATGAAGCCCTCCTCCGTCGCCCCAGCTGAGGAAGCCCTTTGCTTCACACCGGGGCTTTGGCTGATGCCCTCAGCACGCTCATTTCACTCTGAACCTGCTGTGATTCGGAGAAGGCAGGTGTGCAGCCGCCGTGCAGTGGAGCTGGGATCTGAATGCCGGCCTTCGTGGCTCTGCACGTAGGTGGCTCTTTCCACTGCTCTGTAACCCTCCATGCTCCTTAGGTGGGTCCCTGCCTCACCTCACCCTGCCCTTCCCCTGTCTCCCCCGCCCCCTGAGAAGAAAACCCTTAAGAACAGCAGCAGTGCCCTTTAAAAGTGCTGCAGGCACTGAGGGCCCCACATATTTCCTAACAACAGCTCATTACCAGAGACACTGCTTGTTTTAGACCAAACTTAACCATCTTCCCACACAAACCTTCTGTTACCACTGTTTGTTGTGAGGTTGCCCCCTCCCCATTGCTGATTTTGAAGCCAACTACAGATTGTCTGAGCTAGCTTAGCCGTTCCGTGTGTGTACAGAAGGCCAGCAGAACCATTTCTGGCCACCACCCCCTTTTTTGGAGATGGAGCTTGTCCATCCAAGGGCAAAACGTCCCTGTGGCATGTGACCCCTCTGACCCCGGCTTTCACCCCTCCTGGGGACCCTGCTGAGGCCCCTGGGGACCGGCAGTCCAGCCCACCGGGGACACAGCTTTTTTCAGGTGGCTCCTGCAGGCCCGTGACCCCCGGGGTGGAGAGGAGAAGCACTGTGCTCCTTAGGGGGAGACAGGGAAAGATGAGGCGGCTCCTTTGTGTTTGGGAACAGAAACGGGGTGGGAGGCGAGGGGGTGTCACCCAGATGAAGCATGTGACACCTGTGCAGTTTATTTAGGTTTCCTCAGTCAATTCAGGGCCGGCTTCGGGCTTCCCACCACACCACCGGAGCACGCGTTTCCTTGCGCCTGGCCTCGCGGAGGGCGCACAGCTCTAGAGGTCACCCACGGTCGACGGATCAGTTCACAGGTCCACAACGGGACATGAGGTGAGCTTGAACTTGATGTAACAGTCATTCGTTATCTGGTTAATGATTTTAAGTATGTTCTCCCTCGGTGCAATAAGCAGAAGAGGAGAACCCTGTGCCCTTTCAACTCTGTTCTGTGCCCTTTTGAAGAAAACTTGGACAACACTCTGGGTTGAGACTTCAGTAAGTGGGCACGGCAGGAGTGGCATTTTTGTCCCTTAGTGAGAAACCAGAAGGAGAGTGAGGATGCAGAGAGAAATCTCATAGTCTTTTTCTGAACTGGTTTGACTATTTTGAATCAAAACCAAACAATTTGATTTTATAATCTTCCACCACTTTCTTGTGCTAGCTCAAGTAGCCTGATGCAATTACAGGAAAATCGCAGCTGTCCTTTGAGGGAGTATGTGGGCTCTATAACACCCAGGTGATTTATAAGCAATATTGTAGGTAAATATGTATTATAAAAAACTGGCTTTTTTAGACTCTAGCGATTATGAGTTCTGATTTTTTCTTCTTTGTATTCCAAAATAAGAAGCAAGTACTGAAACCATTAAATGTATTTATAACTTCATAAGATACTAGTTAGTCCCCAGAGTATACTGATCTGCCTAATGTAACAGCTAACCTTTATTAATGGGAGCTAAAGCCTGCTCCTAGAACTGCCCCTGCCTTGTTACTTTGGCGTCGGCAATGCTGTGATAAAAATCTCACTTTTAGGGTTTGCTGAAAAGATTCTCAGCTGTGTGGCAGTTCCCTCATGGTGGATGGATGCCAACTCAGTAAAAGCTGCTAGAACTCCTGCAAGATCTGGCTTAGGACAAATTGTAGGATTTTAAATGACAGCAGTGACCTTGAACCAAGATGGAAAGTGTTGATTTTTACCACAGTTTTGTAGTATGAAATATCTTTGCCTGCTCACAATACAAAGATACAGAGAGTTTTTCTTGAAGCTTTTTCTTTTTTTCCTGCAGTTCTGTATACTTTCTGGGCTCTGAATGCCCATTCAACCCACTGAACATCACGCCCACTTTAATGGGTATAAGAAGAATTGGGGTTATGGACTGAAAATAACGTATAAATGGAGGTTTTGCCACATGTTTAATATGTGCTAAGTTCTTAACTTGCATTAACTCATTTATTCCTCATACCAGTTGCATGAGGGAGAATTTTATCCCAGGCTACCTCACAAAGCAGGAAAGGATGACGGCTTCTTACTCTGTTGGAGAGATGTGGTTTGGTTTGGTTTTTTCTGCTTCAGGGAAACCCCTCCTTGAAGCCCTTCTGCCCGGATCAGCAGGGATGCCTGTATCTAAAGGTGACATTTGCACAGTTGTCCCTCTCCACCTGCAAGGCCCTGAGCATGACTGTAGGTGCTGGGAGCAGGGGCCTAGGCCGATTGGCCTTCCGGTGCTGTTAGGTGATGGGTGACTCACTGGCAACTTCCGGGTGGTTGCGCTTTGCTCTTTTTGGAGAAATACTGTTCCATCAGATACTGTTCCAGGCCTGGCTCAGCAGCTAACTGCTTGAACTTCTTGGGTTCAGAAAATACATGTAGAATTTAAACCCAGGAATGGAGATTCCATTTTCAAACTGGTAGAAAGGTTCCCACCAAGGCCTACTCCGAGGAATGGGCATGGATCCCCCACCCCTTCTGACCAGAACAGCCTTAATTTTAGATGGTGCAGCCGACCAACTGCTCACTCCTTCGTGGAGCTCACATTTATTTATTCCGTCTCTTGTGTTCCACACTGTTCCAAGCCCTTGCTGTGGATTAACCCTTCACCCTCACACCAGTCTTGCGAGGTAGGTGAGTGCCATTCCTATCTTAGGAGGACTGGTAGCAGAGCCAGGGTTCAAACCCAGGCAGCCCTGGGCTCCCCTGAGCTACATGTGCTCCTTTGCTTCCTGGTGATGTGGGTTCAGAACCCCAGAGGAAACCCCGCTCTGCCTGCTCATGCCCTGGGTATTAAACTTTGGACATAAATAATCTAGAGAGGGGTCTGAAGGCCAAGGGCTTATCTGGGCCCCCTGACCACTGCTGTGGTGTTTATCTCCTCCGGGAGGTTGTGGCTCTTGGCACCAGCAGCCCCTGCTTATCTCTGGGTTGGTGGGCTGTTCTGTCACCCTCTGGGGCAGCTGCTTCCTCGCATTAGAAGCCTCCACTTCTAATATCGTCTCCCACCACTTGATTGCCCCAAAGCCCTCCGCCTCCCTAAACAGATCTAATCCTGTCACCTCCCACAGTCTACCTGGCAGCATCTTAACCCCTTAGCTTGGGATCGGGCCCCAGCATGACACAGCCCACCTGTTCATTTCTGCTTGCTGATACCCACTTGGGCCCTGGCTGCTCTCCTTGGACTTCTGTTTGTCCTCACACGGACAAATTTCCCTGCCTCGAACACTCTTTTCTTTCATCCACCGCTCCTAGCCTTTGTTCCCTTGGAAAACTCCTTTTCATTGTTCCAGGCTCTGCAAAAATAATCCCTGAATGCCTTTGCTCAGCATCCCTGACAATTATTGACACCACTCTTAGTGTTACCATTTCATTTACCATTGAACTTGGTTCTGCTGTGGCAGTTGTCACTGTATTGTCACTTTATATATGCCATCCATGCTTCACACACACACGCGTGTGTTCTGTTAGACAGAGAGCGCCTCAGAAACAGGAACTGTGCCCTGCTTGTCTCCAAGTGGCCGTTCCTGGCACAGTCCTGATCACAGTCAGTACGTACTGCTGCGTTGAAGAACTCATGCAGAGGTTACCATCCAGTCTTCACCGGCCAGTGACAGCCACAGACTTCTTGCTTCATCCAAGACCTTTCTTAGGGAGTATGGGCGCCTAGCAACCATTGGAAATGCCCTCTTCCCACTGAATGTTGTCTAAGTGTTGCTGAAATTGCCTGTTAGCTGAGAATTCTAAGATAAGTATAGGTCATCTTTCCTAACGCAAATGAAAGGTTTTATATCCGAGGAGGAACTTAGCTGTAATACTGGATTTAGGTGAAGCCAGGCAGAAGAGGGCAGCAGGATTTATCAAATAATGGTGTCTGGTAAAGTTGGGTCCGGCTCACGCCGAGAGGTCAGGAGAATAACTTAGAGTCGACAACTGGCTTTAGAAGCCGAGCAAACTGAGTTGCTACACTCCTTGTGAAGTGTATTAGCCTTACAGCAAGGAAAAGTGACTCCATTTCTTCTAGAAGCTTGCTCTAGAGGAGGGCGCGTTTTCAGTGGGATTTTGGCAGTCTAAAATAGATGATTACGTTATTTGGTGCTTCATCTAATACTGAATTTGTATCGATTGATTGGGGACCAAAGGTTGCTTTGGACAAGATCGAATTGAGTCTTAGGTAACAGAAGCTTGTAGTCCAGAAACAGAATCTGGGATAGATGACGGGAGGGATTACGTGCAATAAAAGCAGTTCGTTTCTTGTGA